GAACAACCTGTAGTAAAAGGATATTGGCAGTTTTGCCACACAGTAAGCATTCTTCAATGATATGGACTAGTTCTTTCCATTCCATCAAAGAAAATTGGAGGTAAACTGGGTTAGCGAAAAAAGTTAAACAAAATTGTACCCGCATTTTGTCTTGCAACTTTTTCGCATCAAACTGTTCCCCTTCTGTGAAAATATCTAAGGAAGCCATTGATGCCATGGCTAGCTGTCCAATATATTCCTCAAAGAGCTCACTACCAAAAAGCATGGCAAATATCGCTGCAGGATCAATAATTGCGTCGCTGAAAAAAAAGTAACATTTTGAAAAATGTCAGAAGCATGCAGCTAAACACACACATTGCGATACGCACAGGAAACCCATAAGGTGTCTTGTATCAGCCACCTTTTAGATATTAGAACTCATATATTAGTGAAATAAGAGAACAAAACTAACGTTGAAATTCCTGATTTTCCATAAGCATCATACGCTTGGCGTTGGCTTGGGTCGCTTAACACTTGGTAAGCTTCTCCCAAAACCTGAATCAAATAAAAAAGATGCATATATACTTGGTAAGCCTATACTAGACCAACAGAAGAAATTACTAACAATTCAAGTCCACCCCCTCTTCACAAAACAACCTTCCCACAATAGAACTATACTAAACGAAAATGACAGAATAAAAGACACTCCGTTTGAGGAAAGGGATCATTTGGGTAATTTGATGTGAATCCAGTATTGAGAACTTTTAGAGCCTGTTTGGTATCCTATTTGAAATTTTTTATCATTTCTTAAAACATTTCTTAAAAACATTTCTTGGAAACAATTTTCTTTAGGACTCCAAAACTTGATTGATTTGTGATTTAAAATTTTTAAATCTTAAGACTTAAACTAGACAAAGAAATCTAAAAAGAGGGGGTCACATGAGAGGGAGAAAGAAAGAAAGTAAGAGATGATTGAAGGAAAGAGAAAGAAGAGAGAGGACGAGATAGAGAGGAAGAGGAGTTGAGAGAAAGAACCGAGAAAATAAAAAAAGCGAATTAGAAGAGAGACGAAAAAGGTAAAAAAAAAAAAAAAAAAAAAAGAGAGAAAAAGAAGAAAACAGAGAGATAGATTTGGAGTGAGAGGGGAGGAAAAAGAAAAAAGAAATGAGAGAGTCTAAGTTTAAAAACTCACTTTTTATGTTTTTAGATAATATACTATATTTTTTAGTTAGTCTTGAGTTTAGTATTTGAAAATAATCCTACCAAACAAGTTTTTAAGGCCTAAAACTTAAAAATTGAAAATTGTTTTTGAGTTTAAAAAGTTGGATTCAAGTAGAGCACCAAACAGGCTCTTAGTTTCTAATATACAAGTTCGTGGAAGCAAATAGCAAGTCTTTCATGTTACAAATACACTGTATTGACCATAATGTATAATTTGATGGGAATTAATTTAAATGAAAAACAAGAGCAAATCTCACCTGAAAATTTTGTGCTGCAAGTGGATCATTTGGGTTTTTATCTGGATGAACCTGCCTTGCCTGCGATCCACACAAAACCCACAAAAACCAAAGTCATTCAATTTATAGCTGTTAGAAATGCTTGTTAGAATAGCACTTCTGCTCAGACTGAAAGCGCTTCTATTAAATCCACATCAAAAAAATTAACAAAAATGCAAGTGCTTCCTAGAAAAGCAGTTGAAGTGCTTGCTTCCTGAAAGAAGCCCACAGCGGGTGCTCTTCCAAACATTGTCAGAAGCGCTCTTGATCATCTAAAATCACTTCCACACAGACAATAATCATATACAACTGATACAATTCACATTTCTAAGTGATGTTATAGAACACGGCTTGGATCTATTAAGCTTATCACATAATCGATTGAGGAAGAAGCAACTGATTACGAATCAAACTTCCGATTAATTATCGCTAAATCAAAATTAAAGCCAAAATAACGATAATCTCTCAGTTTCTGCTGAAAATCTAACTGACCTTCATGTAATAAGCTTTCTTGATCTCCGCCTCGGTCGCCGCCGGGCTGACGCCGAGAACGTCGTAGTACTCCGTTTCCTTCACCATTTTGTCCGATCGGTCAAAATCTTCGCTTCGCAGTTTGCAGGGAGGAGCGAAAAAATAAAAATAAAATAAATAAAATAAAATAAGAGAAGAAAAATAGAGGAGGAAGAAGAAGAAAGGAGGATAAGAGAAAATAAGAAGATTCCCTTCCTACGTCCCCACGCAGGTACGCGTTATTTGCCTAATACTCTTTAGTTGTGCTACTACCCACCTCCTAAGTCCCAAGTCATTAATTAAGTTAAATAATCTTCATTTGACCAAAAATATTTAAAAATTAATTTGATTCGCTTGAGACGTGATTAACTTAATACTGAAGTTATAAGGTATAGTCGTAACTGTTTTGTAGATCGAGTGGGCGTTTGAATTTGAATTGATGTGTTGTACATGTGACGTCAATTAATAAGTTTATCTTATTATATGTTGGTTTATTTGCTACATCAAAAATAATCTTGTGAATGCTTAAAGGTGGTGGTGACTACTTGGTATTTTGCGCACTTTTGCTAGAATTGCGATGAGAGTTCGAAGTATGGGATTTTAGTTAGAACAACCTCTTTCATGGCAAGTTCATTATCGATTATGGGCAAGATGAGACCTCTGACTATCATCAATGTGTTTATCTTGTTGAGTAGTTAAATTTGATGTATTGAAATGGTTGAGAAATGGCGAAGATGAGTTAGCTAAATCTCTGGGTTTTCCGGCGAGAAGGTCCAAAACCCAGTGAGGATTTTCGATGGCTGCATGAACAAGGCCAATCTAACCTGACCTCGAACATACAAATCCTATGTGAACACCCCAAACCCATATCTGAATTCAGATCCGACCCGACTCTGGGTTAGAATATTCTGTTAGGAAATATTCCATTATAGTGACGGAATATTTTGGTGTTGGACATCCAACCGTTGGATCGTTATAAAATTGTAATATGTTATTGTAGGAGTAATGTGTTGGCCATAGAAACTTATAGGTCATAAATCCAATGTGCGGGTCTTCTGGAATGAGAATAATTATGGTGGTTGACTTTAACAAAAACCATTTTGATCGAGGATTGACTTGGGGCCAACATATCCTGAATAATTCTTGAAAATTGACGTTAGCATCACTAGAGGCTTGCTATAGAGCCTAGCGGGCAGAACATGCCGATCGTCACTCTATTTCATAGTTAAGTGAAATATCCATTTCCGCTAAGTACGACATCTAAATGTAAAATAGCAGATGCTGATTTTCTTGCATGAATAAATTGGCTTGATCCCTTCACAAGATACTTAAGCAATCTAACTCGAAGGTTAGATGCAACCATAAGTTTTATTAAAATTAAATATGATATCCTGTCTCAGAGTTCAGGACATGACATTATTGTGTTTTGATCTCGGTACATATTTTACTAGATGGACAAGGACAAGGCTCCTAAGTTTTTCATCTTCAACCATGCAAGGCTATAATTTATTCTCTTAAATATTATATTACTTTAGGCTACATGTTGCCCGTCTGAGAACATTTTTACTTACCATCATTTAGTGTGGTATATGCTCATCACCCTTAGATAAGTTTGAATTTCGAGATTCGTGTAATGAATATACACAAATCTCAAATTTCAAACTCATTTAATGATGATAACTATGGTGGTAAGTATACACAACACTAAATGGTGGTGAGCAAAAATATACTTCTTAAAAGTATCTAACTTTTATTTTCCTAGCAAAACCCTAGAAATGTAATAACCGTAATTAATTTTACACTTTTCCAACCTCTTGATGTTCTGACTTTTCCAATGCGTAAAATTGAATTAAAATTTCAGAGACTCCTAGTCTCCCGCCAAAATTAACAGCCTGCAACTAAATTATCCTCTTCCCGCCGAAACCACCAAGCTCCTCCGCATCCGCATCCAAAATTCAGACCCTCTCTCTTCTTTGATTAGCCTTCACAAGATTATTATTCTTCGTACTCTTCTATCAACCAATCAATTAACCTCCTACGACTCACAAAAACAAAAAAAAACCCACATTTTTTGAGGAAAAAGGGGAGCTACAGTGGAGGTGGTTACAGTAGAGAAATATTTTATTGTGACTGGAATACGAGTGATACATCAAGTATTTTTATGTAAGTAGTGAGAAATTTTATTTTTTAAAATTATTAACTTTTTAACACACATATCCTACTATTTATATAATAACATATGATATACCATCCCGTGTGCCGATTATACCAAAAAATCTCTCGTCACGGTGGATGCGGAAGTGCTGTTGGTTTGAAAATCCTTTGATCACGAAACGTTATGTTTCTTTTTCCGTTCCTATTTTAGCTGCTAGGCAAATATTGACTGATTTTCATGGTATTTAATTGTCTGGGTTCATTGTTTTTTGACCTTTTTAACTGTAGAAGAAGAACAATTACACTACCATTATAGATTTTGGATATAATAAGGACGATTCTAATGTTGTACGAATCAGGGACGAATAATTTTGAACAGGAACTCCTACTCATTCTTTGAGTAGCAGTATTGTTGGAAAAAGTTAGGTAGAATTTGCTGCTTGTAAGCAATGCATGTGGTAACCACATTATTGCATTAATACGAGTGTTTTATCATCCGTTGGTAGAGAAGCTCACGCTCACATTAAACAAAAAATGATATCTGTCCGAGGGGTGGATTATTAACAACCAAAAGCCAGATTATATACTAGTGGGAATATTGTAGAGATTGAATTTGACGAAGGTTCTAAGCGTAAAGGTCTCTACCTTTACTTATAGAGGTTTGTGGAGAGCATCCTGCTCGTTCTTATCCTTGAACTGGGCTGGCTGAAGGGCAAACGCTATCAAGTTGTCCATCTCGCACGACGCAGTCCTTGTGACATTAAGAGAGCACAAGATTCCCCCAGACTGGGATTAAAAGAGATGGGAAGAAAGGAGCATGGAAGAAAAGTTCCGATGTTTTTTTTTTTTTTTTTTTTTTTTTTTTTTTTTTTTGAGATTAAACCATCTACTGCAACTACAAGCTAGAACATGTTTATTTGAACCAGCTTATAATTCAGTATCCAAAATTAATGAACATTAGAGAATTTCCAAAACAACGAAATCATAGACGGGAGAGCCGTTCCTCCTCATCCATGTAATAGGATTTGTTCAGAAAAGGGTAGTCTGTGTACCCAACAACAGGGTCTTGTGTGTAGAAAGTCTTCCTGTTATACTTCGTCAAGGGGGCATTAAGCTTAAATCTCAAAACCAAGTCAGGGTTCGAGATAAAAAGGCGTCCGTATGACACCAAATCAGCGTCGCCGGAAGCAATTGCTTGCATTCCAAGCTCTCTAGTGAATCCTCCGCTAGCTATGAATGTACCGTGATAAGAGTTTCTTAAAGTCCTCATAAACACAGCTTCCTCTTCGTCATTGCTGAGTTTACTAGCTTCTGCTTGGGCATGAGCTGAATAGCGAGGCTGTGTCACATGGAGATAAGCCAGTTTAGAGCCCCAATTCTGTTGAAGCCTGTTGAGCCTCTCGATCACTGCCAAGCCTAAGATAAGTGGTTTGGAGTCAATGGCATCCAAGTGATCAATAGCCGGCGAGATTCTGACCCCAACTCTATCCGCACCTATTGCTGCAACCACAGCTTGAACAATCTGAATAAGAAATTTGCACCGATTTTCTAGCGATCCACCGTACTCATCAGTTCGATCATTGATCCCGTCTTTCAGGAATTGGTCAATGATATAGCCATGTGCCCCATGAATCTCAACTCCATCAAAACCTACACGACATGAAAATTGATCATAAGACTCAAAAGTTGTATAGAAAGTGCGACACAACACGAGCAATCAAATCACAGGAAAAGAAACTGACCTGCTTGAATGGCATTCAACGCACCCTGGCGAAAATGCTCAACCACTTGGGGAATTTCCTGGGTTTCGAGGGCTCGAGGCTTAGGATAAGTGCCATGAGAGCCATCTGGCAACAGAACATTCCGTCTCTTTGAAATGGGATTGTTGGTTGAAGATATCGGTAATCCCCCACCAGGTTGATAAACTAAATCATTAACCATGTTACGAACAAAAACAATCAGCCTACTGCTCCAAACCGTAATAGGTAAAAAATCTACCTTCATGAGATGCACGACCAACGTGCCAAAGTTGACAGAAAATGAATGCGCCTTTGGCATGAATTGCATCCACCACCTTCTTCCATGCCTCCACCTGTTCGTCGTTGTAAATCCCAGGAACACGGGGCATCCTGCCATGACATTAATATTTATATATCAATAAGACACCATTTAAAGAAGAAATTAGTTTTCACAACAACACTAGATTTCTTGATAAGGAAGAGTTCAAAATACAAAGCTAATTTATTGAGGCATTGATAAAAACAGTGTGGCATTTACGTTATTAGATTGTAAACCAAAGGCGTATTTTATAGTCAATTGCAGAGTCAAAAATTCATGTTATGAGGGGCACCTTTAAACTGTAGTGGGCATAACACATAGAGAAACATAGTCAGGTTCTTTTGGTCACCTTGGCGACCAAGAATGCATGGTCAACTACTCTTGAATTTCATATTTGTTTATTGTACATTATTTATATTAAATTCATTTGTACGTAAAAACATAAGGCATAATAGAAGTTTGAAAGGTTTTTTTTTACCAAAAAACTCTCTCTTCTTAATTTCATAGATGATATAATAGAGGAAAAGGAAAAATTAACACAAAAAAAAAAGTTTGAAAGCAAAGGAAAATATTGCAATAAACAGAAAATATGATCAACTAATATTATTATAGAACTAACTGTTAAGTAAAAATTAAAGGCTTTATTTTTGTAGAATTGGAAGTTAATTTGACTAACCAATAGAAAACAAAATCAAGTTAATGGTGGTGTAATAAAATTGATCAATGTTAGACGGGTAGTAAAGGTTATAAGAAAACAAAATACGGGAAGGCCTGTAGCCTTAAGGTGGCTCCGCTATATACAATAGCCTATTGTATATAATCTGATAACGTAACATATTAGATGGTCATGCAAAAGAAATGAAAAATAATACTAGACATTGATTTACAATAATACCCGGCGCCAGTGTCGGAGACTATAGCGGCTTCGCTAATGAGAAGGCCGCCGTCAGTTGACCTCTGAACGTAGTACTCAGCCAGCGCTGGTTGCGGCAGTCCATTCAACGCCCGGCACCTCGTCAGCGGCGCCAGAACCACCCTGAAAAAGGACAAATCCGTCAAAACATATCCAAACTAAACAATTAAATTGATAATATGCCCTCCCATAGTTCCCGCCAACTCTGGATTATCATGGAGGACTTGACTTCAACCTGTGAGAGAGACTGAACTTGCCCATCTTGTACGGAGAAAACAGAGTGACGGGGGAGCTTCCCTGAGACATTTTTGTCGGGTTCAAGGAAAAAAAAAAAAAAACCGGTCTCACATCGAACGATGGATATCCGAGAACGAGAAAATGAAGTGAATAAATTTGAATGTAGAAGATGAAGAAGAAGGAGAGAGCTTTCTTTATATAACAAGAGAATTGTTCATTAAACCATCATGGGGAACTCAAACGGCAAGCGACTTTTTCCTCTATCATCCCATCAGACTTTTCTTTCCCATTTTACCCCTCATATACTTTTGTAGTATATTTATAGGGATGTGATATCTACACACCTCTTTTTACTTCTTTCACACCATTTTAATTTTCGACCGTTGGATCAGATGAATTAAAAAAGATCAAAAGATAGAAATTAACAAGGGGTGTGAGAAAAGTAAAAAGGGGTGTGTGGATAGCACATCCCTATTTATAATGTAATCCGCATTTAAAGAGGGGAAGGGATCCCCTCCGGATTTCTCCCACCAAAACCCACTAATTAATTAATCTGGACACTTCAAATTTGATTTAACGGCTACAAACAGGAAGCTCATTTAAAAGTTATAATAATTTTAGTCATTTGGTCAAATTTCAAGGGCCTAGATTAATTGATTGGTGGGCTTTGGTGTGAGAGATCTAGAGAGGATCTCTTCTCTTTAACGAGTTGCTTTCAAATGTTTTTAAGAACGAAATAAGAATGGGGATGGTAGTCTCGAAATTGGCTGTAGTGGATGTTGATGCCAAAGTCTAAGCATTGGGGTAAAATGCCACTTACAAAATAGGAGAGTAACTTACATGAAATTGATTCACTGTCACGTAACATTTTGATGCACTAAACCAAGTACATGTGTTAAAAAATAATTTCAAATGTCATTCTTCTATCGGAACAGGACGGCATGGTGGCAATGAACATATGTTTCATGTAACTTATTTGAGCTTAAAATTTTGTGTGCGCTCTATGTTTTATTCTCTTACAACTTGTTTTCTATATTTCATACCATACAACTTACTTGAACTTTTAAATTTATTTTATGAGATGAAAACAAAGATAAAAATAACTGAGCAACCTACCATGATATGCATTCTGTATGAATATATATCCAACAATTTTAAAAGTCAAACATTAAATGGGCAAAAGCATCAAATTAATAATCCTCCACCATTTCAAAATTATAAAGTATTTGAGCAAAAGCATCTAACAATTCGTAACTTTTCCAATATTTCAAAGTTTTAAAAGTACATGACCAAAAGCATCCATCAGTTAACCATCACTCTATTTCTATCCTCCTCTTGGATTCTATGCCTGAAAATTACAGCAAGAACAATCACTAGACATGCTAAATTTTCCACAATAATGTATACTAATATATCTCTTATTACCGTATCTCATAGAGATCTTTGAGCATTTTGAATGATATCAAAAGCTTAATAAGTTGATCTTGCATGTCCTTATACCTTTAAGTTATTTGTGCTTCGAAATTAAAGGTGATGGAGACTTCAAAACAGGTTTTTCATCCCATGTTTTAAAACCAGTTTGAGGTTCTGTTTTCTTGCATATCAGTTTAATCACCTACAAGTATCTTGGTGATTTATAACCGTATATAGGTGATTTCAATCATCTACTCATCCATTTTTTGTAGATATGATATTTAGATGATGATAAAGATTATGATCGGTTCTGATTATGAAGTTCGTATGGTGAATACACATTAATCATAAGTAGAGGCACAAGTAGGAAGAAAGTTGAGGTTCCACAAAAAAATCAATTGGCAATATAGGGAGTAGTTATACTTATAAGCTTATGTTAAGTCTCTTTTCCCATCAATGTGAGATTGTTTCTAAACATGCCCCTCACTGTGGTAAAATTTTAAGCCTAACATGTGCACAACACAAACGGGCCGGGTGAGGTGAAGTGCGTGTGACTGTTTGACTTCTAGGGTAACTAATATCCCGTTTCAAACCCAGTATTTGACCTTGTGTTTTTTCAAAATTTATCCAAACAAGGTAGACATTGTCGATGCAAATTTCCGCCGCCTTCAGCCTTGACGAAAATTCACCTGCAAAACAATCAACACCTTTGATCAAAGACCTAAACCTCACGCGCCCACGAGGTGAGGGGGAGAGTTAGGCCAATGGATCTCTGATGCCTAAGTCAGTTTCTCTGAGAGAATAAAGTGTTTAAGGCTTTTTTAGGGGTAGCAAAAGCTTTGAAAATTTGGTAAAATATGGGGTATTTATAGGGATAGGACCAACCATAGTGTTAGGATTTTACCATATACATGGCCGCATCCTATTGGCCAAGGTGTTTATGGAGAAATATTCTCAAAATATTCTCAAGATATTAAATAAGAAATAATATCTTCGGATAATGGTGTAATTACCCCTAATTTATTTAAATTGGGATTACTTACTTTATTGGAGTCAATCTTCAATTGGGAATGTATTAAAGATAGGATTTGGGTAATTAATCCTTATCTTTAATTCCTTGCCAAGGGTAGGTAAGTTATGGGCACTCGTATTTAGTTGCTGAGATCTTCAGGGGTGTGAGCTGCGCATGAGAGCATCTAAGAGGCTTGCCCATATATTGAGGGCAATATTGTCTTTCTTGGATAAAAGTCTACGTGTCGCCTCTAGAATTTTCGAGATTATTTTTAGGCTCCACGTACATATTTTGGGATTTCCAAAACTCATTTTCTAATCTAAACCTCTCTTTAGACCTTCACCCAAACAGACCCTAAGACCGTCTCTAGTCATGGTGTGCTAAACGTAGCCAAGAGTTATGTTTTAGTTCTCAAAAATTAATATTTTAAAGGGTACTTTAGAGCTAAATTTTTCCATAGTATATCTGTTCATTCTATCTCAAAGGGTTGCTGGCTATGTAGTAGCGGAACCAATAAAAGAAGCACTCAAAGCCCTCTGGTATGCAGTAGATGGATGGAAGTGGTAGAGCTACTAAAGTTGAAGCAAAATTAATTACATATTCCCCAATTTGGGAATATTAGGTTTCAATTTGGTGACACATATGTACTATTCCGTGTGACGGTCACATTAAAAAATCTTCCCTGTTTCGAAGGCGTGTAATGAGAATCTGAACGCGGCTATCTTCTGTGAAAAGGAAGCAGTGCCTGTTGTCTGCGGCGTCAGAGCCATTTGGGTCCAATTGGAGGGAGAGGGGAGAGCAATTAAACGCTAGCCTAGTGGAGGGTTTATCAAGTATTGTAGGGTTCCAAGGCGTATGATTCGGAAAATTGAGGGAATGCATAAGAGTATGTAGTGGTTTGGTATTGAGGTATTTAAGTGTTTTTATAAAAAGTTGGTATAAAAAAAAACTGAGCTTAAAAAAATGTTTGGTAAATACTTAAAAACAACTTATTTTCATAGTTTTGGGTGAAAAAAAGCTGAAAACATGAAGCAGCAAAATGAGCTTCTTCTCACAGCACAGCAGAAACAGTTTTTTTTTCAAAGCACAGCAATACCAAACCAGCCTCTTAATTATGAGTTGACTAAAGTATGGCAGATCCAAAACTTTTCACTAAGAATATTGCTTGTGTTTTCATATGGTAACCTACCTGTCCTCCCACTTATGATTAACGTATCTTCATTATACAAACTTCGTAATCAAAACAATTCATACTTCATCATCATAGTAATTAGCCTTAATTAACCGCAATTAATCAAAACAGTTCATACTTTTATTTTCCAGGCAAAACCCTACAAATGTACTGACCGTAATTAATTTTACACTTCTCCAACCTCTAGAAATTCTCACTTTTCCAATGCCTGCAGATGTAAAATTAAAAATAAAATTTCAGAGACTCATATTCTCCCACCAAAAGCAACAGTCCGGCTGCAACTATCCACTTCCCACCGAAACCACCAAGCCCCACCGCATAGGCATCCGCATCCACCACCACCTCTCTATCTCTTTTCCCTTTCCCTCTCCCTCTCTCTTCTTTGATTAACCTTCACAAGCTTTATTATTCTTCGTACTCTTCTATCAACCAATCAACCTCCTACGACTCATAAAAAAAAAAACACATTTTTTTTAGAAAAAAGGGGGAGCTACAGTGGAGGTGGTCACGGTGGACGCAGAGGCGCTGTTGGCATGGGTATGTGCTTTTGGTTTGACATTAAATCCTTTGACCACGAAACTATATGTTTATTTTTCCGTGCCTATAAATATTGACTAATTTTCATGTAATTACAGTGGTTTGTGGAGAGAATCCTCGTTCTTATCCTTGAGCGGGGCTGAAGACAAACATGATCGCGTACAGAGGATTGTACGCGATCACGTTATCCATGGTCTTCTCGAATGATGTGGTCTTTGAAACATTAAGAGAGGACAACTTTCCCATAGTTTGGTTGTCTGCATGAAAAACTCGCCCTTGGAGATAATGTTTCGGGCTCGGTCTTACCATTAACTGGAATAGTTCATACCCTAAAAAATAAGCGTTTCATGCATCATGACATTATTTGACCAAAAAAAAGGTATCATGACACTGAAGAAGTGTCGTTAACGTTTAAACAAGCGCCTCTGTTTATTTTTTTTTAAATGTTCTTCTTTAAGGACATAGAAAACGTTATGTATGTCACAACAAGCGTCATTGTTCAAGTACAATGATGCAAAAACTATCAATTGTCTGTGACTTTGTATGGGTTTATAAGGCGTGTCGCTCAAATACACTTTTATGTCGATATAGTTTGGTCAATCACAAGGTTCTTTCTCCCTAAAATAGTGTTTTCATGTACCAATAAGTTTCATCTCACTTCTTTAGGTCTCGTTCGTTTTTCTAGCAGTCATTAACCAAACTGTAAAACCAAAAAAAAAAAGAAGAAAATGCAGGAACCGAAAACAAATACCTTGAAACGGACGGTCTCTTGATTGTATTGTTTCTCCTTGCCAAGCATCAAGGCCAAGTTGTTCTTCCAATGCTCAACATGCTCCTCACACTGGCTTGCATCATCTTCTAGTTGGGCAAGTGTTCTACCAAAGTTGGAAAACTTAACACGCTCAGAAAAACCAATACCCCACATTAAAATCCATACTTTTGACTTTACAGTTGTTGGAACATATCCAACAAGACCATACCTTTTCAAATAAGTTAACCTGGATATCGCCCTTCGAGTATAATCAAGAAGAACATTAGACTCTTTTTGCGCTTTAGTCCTCTTCTCCTTCACACCCGTCTTCCTCAACGATATATCCCCCATCGCCACAAGAAAACTAAAACCCTAAAAATTACACCAAAAGCCTTCATGCACGCCAAGTCTGGCAGGCAGCAGTAGCTGAAAGAAGCCCATCTGGGTTAACGGGCATTTGCTGCAAAAATTATTATTTTTAAAGCCACAAATGCCATCGACTAAGTCCCAATTTTGGAGGAATTCACTACATAATCAACTGCTTAGTTCAGTGATGGCCGTCCAAGCGTCTGTTCTCTGTGTGCGAAACAATTTATAACTTAAAAGAAAGCTTGAACAAGCCGACACAGAACGACACTCGCTAGAGAACAGAGAATTAGAGCAGTAAAAGGCTAAAAGCTACCAGAATCACGAATCAACTGTTCATTAGCTAAGGCCGAAATGAGAAATGAACCTTTTTCATAACACACAGGACACAAAACAAAAGGATCTTACTCGTCAAGGTTTGCAGATAAACGAGATCACATAAACCACTAGACACTAGAAACTAGAAAGGCGCCATTCCTCGAAACTGCACCCAGAAGACTGCATCACCAGATGCAGCGGTATGTAACATGAGACTCGGTAATATCACCAGTGTAAGTAACTTTCACTACCTGCCCCTTCTCAAGTCCATAGTACCGTGAAATTGCGTCTTTTCGTGACAGTCATAAGCGGAACTTAATTTTCTTAAATGCATATACAACACTTCAAATTTTCCGAACTTGCAGTTGACCTCCCTAAATCACATTTCCAATTATTCTTTATGCCTAGATTATAAAGAAGCTTTATCAATGCATTTTGATCCTTAAAGGCTTAAACAGAACTTAGTTCATCAATTGTATCTTCTAGGAGAATGCTTAAATAATGCCTCTCCAATCATAAGCCATCCATAAAGCTAATCTAAAGAATCACAAACGTAGTCAAATGTAATCATCTTGGAGGACTTGTATGCATACAAGAATGAATTGCAAAACATAACTGACATTCAGAAACAAACCTGGAATATTTTATTTTAAACGGATTAGAGTTTTTAGAGCTTCATTTGTCCCTTGGTCTTGTGTAGTTAATATGAGCCCCGCCAAAGCGACCTTATTAGCAATCTGAGAATGTAGCCCACGAATCACATTAACCTTCATGATACCAGGGCCACAGTAAATGACAAGCATCTGCAATTCAAAAATTAATCACAAATACCAATTGCTCATATGTTATTGCTAGAAGATCACGCACACCAATTTCAAGTGAAGAGCATAGCAAATCCATCAGTGCCACTGTTTATGCCTTTGTCTAGTATCCATGCATAAAGCATTAAAATTTCAATTCGATGGTAAGTGGGAGAAATCACATTGACCTAAGTGTAAGTGGAAGGGTGGAAGCAACCGAGGTTAAGCAGTCACATTCAGTCCAGATGAAGTCTGCATGCATATCACTAACAACGTATCTAACATGGACTCTCCCTCCACATCCCCTGTAAGCTGTAAGGAGGACCTTCCAGCAGTTCCAAGGTTATGTCTAGTATGCAATTGGCCACATCATTTACTTTTAATTAGAATATGACACTAGAGAATGATACCAAAGCATGACGGTATACTAATACATCCACGTGAAGCATTATACAATACGAAAAATTGTTAAACTCCGCATGACTTTGTTCATATGAAGTCAATCAGGGAAGTTGTAACTTGTAACCACCGCTTAGGATGCAATTCTAAAGACAAATCAGAAATCTATTACCAACAGTTACATAGGTCTGTCCAAATGAAGAAACGGATTGGGGATAAAGCTTAGATAGGGATAGAAAAACAATAAGAAGTATACCGAAAAATAGATTCTGAAGTTTACAGGGTCAGACATCCAAAAGAAAAAAGGAATCACTTTTCTACACGATATACAGACATTGAACTCTTCGACAAAAAAATAGAGATATCGAACTCAAACAAGCTTCTAAATATGAAACAAACACTGGAAACTACGCACGTGAACTGCTTGCCAAACAACAAAAGGATGCTAAAATACATTATACAGATCTAATCGTAAACCTCTGACTAACTGTAAAACCTCAATTCTAACATCAAGTAATTTCATATCCTTCAAAGGGAAATCCAGCATCTTTTATTTTCACATGACTTTTGTGAATTCCTTAAATCTTATATCATTTATTGTAATCTTCAAACGAAATTACGCCATCAGTGGCCTGGTAAGAATCTGGTTACAACTAAGCATGCATTCATAGATTGTACTGAGATTTATCTAATGTGGCCGGTCAAGCAAGGCCCCAGAATCTCCCCGTTGCTGAACGATACGTTGGCATTAATTTGGAAGAAATCCTGTAACCCTATGATTTGTTTTGGTCTTGAGATTTGGATTTATGCAGTTAACTTAGTGACATACAAAAAACAAACCTCCTCTTAAGAATAAGGTTAAGGCTGTGTTTTAGACCTTGGTTATATACGAAAAAGCATCCGGACATCTTGAACTCAACTCTTGCAAGTTCCCAAGGTGGATAGATTCATCTAAGATACTCAATCAATCATCTAGTGGATAGATTCATCTAAGATACTCACATCAATCATCTAGGCATGGCATATTAGATGCTCTGGATGTCCAGGCCATGCATCCACCGTCCCTTCACCGTCATCTGCACTTGTACAGGAAAAAAGGAGTTGCTGTTATGAAGAGTTGAAAGATGAAATGACCCGGTTATTTCATCTGTTATATGATACAGGTTGAATCGGGTCAATAGCAAAAATCTCAATCGAGAGTCGAGAGTCCTCTCAGGTGCATCGTGTTTGTTTGTTGAGTTGGAGTAACGGTAGGTGTGGGAACGTAACGTTCCAAAATAAAAGGGCAAATCGTCGAAGTAAAGGTAGATGGGATTCAAATGAGGTTGCTAATGTACACAAAATTGATAGCTACCTAATTGTGTAACCCATCATTGCAGTGTCTTACAAGTGCCAATCAGCCCTCGCCTGCCCTGGATCCTTGGAATTATCAAGAGTTCATGAAAAAATATTAACAGCTTCCTGATTGACAACTGTGACTTACGAGTACTCTCAATGAAAAACAGACAATTTTCGACAACAAGTTCTGAAATTATATTCATTACTGATTACTGATAGATATTCGATGCTGTCTAACCATTTAAAAACTACATTACAAGGAAATTAACTTAAAACTAGAGGTCATGTCAAATACTTATTGCGGACCAGTGGCTGGCATATAAGCTTCTCCTGCTCCTGAACTTCATGGGGAAAAAACAACCAGACCTTCCTTCACTAATGAGCTAGGGTAACACTGCAACACACGGAAAAAAGAAAAAAAAAAGATTAAATTGGACCGATCAGATCAGGTAAAATGTGATTTCCACGTACAACATCACTAGAAAAAAAAAATATAATGATCGTCTGAGCATGTTACTGCTAGCCACGGACTATAAACTCTGTGTCATCCGTTTGCTTCACTTGAAAATGGATTATAATCTAGCTCCCGGCATACTATGATTAAAAAGAAGAAGCTAGACCATCAACTATAATCTCCAACCAGACTCTGTACCTTGATTTTCTTGTCACAGAGAATGGTATGATGCCCCTTCTCCATAGCCGATAATGCTGTTTCCCTTGTCCTGAATTCCAGATACCCATAACATTTATCTTCATGGTTGTGCACCATTACTTCTGTAACATCTCCGATTCCAACATCAGGTAATAAATCAAGGAAATGACGATAGAGATCAATTTCAGTAACCTACAAAAGATTAATTGCATATTAGATGTACAATATATTTTTCTTTCTTTCTTTCCACAACCAAAATGATCAACCACCACCAAAATCAATCACCCACACATATGTATATATATGACCTTGTGACACTGGTTAACCAACAGTCCACCAAAAATAACAAACCAAACTAATAGTACAGTAAAACTATTAAAACAACTAACGTAGGGCTAGCTCATGTTTGGATACTCTATCTAAATCATTATTATATGTTCTTGAGACAAATGAGACCTAAGCATATTGCTATTTTCATCATTTTCACATTAAGGAAAAAGTACGAACGTACGATAGTATTACCAAAATTCACTGGGCACACAAGCCAACAATTATCTGATCCTATCCTACAATCCCTTGCTTTTTTCTGCCATTAAATTCTAGCCAATTAACCAGCCAACTACCAAAAAAAAACAAAATAAATGGCAACATACACAACTTGAAAATGTATGCGTCACCCAACTCAACCCTCTTTCCCAAAACATAATGTGCCAGCGTCCTTTACCTATAGCTTCAAAGTTCAAACTAAATTTTTGGGATAATGCACTAGTTTGCAGGGAGAAAAAAAAGTTTTCAAGTTATCCTAACCCTATGTGCCCGTGCGTAGACAGTAAAATATAAAGCAGCAAATCTGTATACAAGAGATAATTAATTTACCAACCAGAGGGAGAGAGAGGGAGAGAGAGGGAGGGAGGGAACCCAAAAGCATGATGATACCATGAGTTAAATAAGAAATTCACTTGCCTGTGGAGCTAGATTGGCCACAAAAAATGAATAACGAAACCGTTGGAATTCTGTATTTGGCTTCTCATTATCATCATCCTGACCATTATTGTCACCGCCAGCATTTTCTAGTTCTATGACAGCTAGAAGATCCTTCACCCGAGAAGGGCACACGTGAGGATAGTGTCCGTTTTCGTTACAATAAAGACAGTCCTTTAACTGAGCAAATGTATGATGATCATATTTTATGTTCCAATACTGCGACTCAATGGAGCACATGTATGTATGACAGACGCTACACATTATTTCAGCACCAGGTTCTACTTTTGTGCCAGGAGGGCACGATATAGCCAATGGGCACCATGCAATGTGGTGGTCATTTTTACCACAAATGCTGCAAAAGTAACTTTCTTTCACAAGAGGGTGAGCAACCCAAGTCTCTCTGGGCTTCAGATAATTGGGGCACTCACAAGAGGTGTGCTCACCAACGTAGTCACAATAACGACAAATCTCGCTGCTGCTGACACTATCATCAGAACTATAGTGATCAGAATCGAGAACCATTGTATCCTCTGATTGCTCCTCCCCTATAAGAGAAAAGGTGATGATGAAATGACACTGAATAATAAGAGACATGCATATTCATATTCTATCTTCTCCATAAGCAGCATGTATGCACAAGTGGAAATGGGGATGCGCGAGCATGTAAGTTGACTGTAAAGACAAGTATGTTTATATAGATGATAGCCTAGCAACGTTCCTAACCCCTAACCTTAACCCCTAAACCCTAATCCCTAATCCAAAACCCCAACCAAAACCAAAACCCCAAAACCCAACCCCAAAACCCAACCTCAAAACCCCAACCCCAGAGGAAGGAAACAATCTAGACTTGGGTATTCATCACAGATAAATGATAAACCATATCTTTAATGGAACTAATTCGGAATTTATTAGGACCCGTAAATAGCCAAACAAGCAGAATTGATTACAACAACAACAAAGCCTTTTCCCACTAAGTGGGGTTGGCTATATGAATCCTAGAACGCCATTGCGCTCGGTCTTGGGTCTTAGCGCGATTTCGTTCTGGATTCATTTTCATAAGGATTCGACGTAACCGAGGATTACCGGCTGTCGACTACCTGACGCCCTCCCCCTCCTCCTTTACCCGGGCTTGGGACCGGCAATGTAAGATAAACTTACACAGAAAGAATTGATTAAAAACAAAAATTTTAAAAAAAAAATGAAAAAGCGTGCTTGTGTATGATAATTACCAGGACAGGCTTGATTGATTTCTTGTTTTTTCTCTTTAACACGGAAATCTTGATTAATTTCTTTCTCCCCTGAAATCAAGATAAAGAAATTAAAAAAAATTAAAAAGATAAAAATAAAAATAAAAATTCGTTGGATAAATTGATTGAATCCACAAGTTTTGGCTAGATAGATCGACCAGAGGCGGAGGAGAGAAACTTGCTTCTGCGAATCTCCTTATCTGAAAATCACAAAAATAATAAAATAATAAAAATTAAAAAAAAATAACGATTATTTCTATTAGTTAAGGGAAAGAAAAAGAATTACCCTTGCACGGGCTTGACGAGAGAGAGTTGCTTTCCGTCGTACCGGCTTGACGAGAGCAGAGACGAAACGATACGAGACCAGACGTGTGCAGTTGCAGAGGAGATAACACGGTGCCCAACATTCAAACACCAGCACAGAACAGATCCAGAAAAAAATAATTAGGGTTATCGGTGATTTGAGTCATTGACTCATGAATAACACTTTTGCCATTTTATATTGGGTAAACTGTGATTTGAGTCATTGACTCATGAACTAACACTTTATTTAAAATTGACCCCTTCAACTATATTTTTGGTAAATTAAGGACTTGAACTTTTTAAAATTAGCAAATTGACCCATTCTATTAAATTAAGAACTTAAAATTTTTTTCATTTTCATCATACCAACCAAACAAGGTTAAATTAATGTGTCTTACCAATCGATGTGTGACACCTCACTGGAGCAACATGTTAAACTTAATAGTGGGCTTCATTTAGGGCTCTAGAAGGGCATCTCTAATTGTTGTGCTATATTTAGGGGTGATTTCTAACGTGGAGACATCACTTTGCAGACCCAGCGTACGGACAAAATGTAATTCGTTGGATGAAAATTGAACGGCTGAAAACAATTCCATCGGAATGAGCTTAGGATGAAACCGGGTCATAAATGATCCGTCACTTAATTATAATGGTACCCGGCTTGAATTCAAAATTTCTTGGGATTTAAACCGTACCCCCTGACATCAACACTTACCGTCTTAAGTAAGTCTTGTCTTCCTACAAAAAACACTCCATCTCTTGCATTTTCTTAAGCATCGTTGCTGCAGAAAACATCATTCCCATTCGAAAACTTGCTCCCCGTTTCAAATCCAGTTATAGTTGGTATGTGCTTGTGTTGTCTGGCTTCACAGAAAATCCGGACAACAATGTAGAAAATCAGAGGATTCTAGTTGGAGGCTGTGCAGTAGGTTCTAAAGGAAAGAAGTGTTTTTTGCTTCATTCGAGCTGGGTTCAGACTGCTTTCGTGATAATAGTCGTCATATTTGATTCCCTTAGTGAATTTCAAATTTGGTGAGTTTTGAAATTGAAACCCTAGAATTTCATCTGTTATTTCTGTTAAGTATTATAAGTTAAGTTAGGTGTAAGGTTAATCATGCATGTTCGTGGATGTAATTAGGTGGATTTTGTCGTTTATATGAATTTTTTTTTACAAATTAGGGTATGTTGCGAACTTATGAAGCTATGTTGACGGGTTGTGTAGATGATGGGGTGTTATTTGTAGTTTTGTTAAAGTTGTAGTTTTGAGTATGAATTGGATTTTGTATCTGAATTTTTGTTAATTTAGTGGTGATAGGGATTGCTTTTGTATTTGAATTATTGTTAGTTTTAAGGTGGGGATTAAAATTGCTTTAGTAATGATGCACTGTTCATAACAGATGTAAAGCTATGAAGCTTTGGTGACAGGTTGTCATTAGGTTATGTATCGTTGATTGTTGATGTGTGTGTATTGTTATGTGTACAGGATATGGTAACCTAAGGTGTTTTACTAACAACCAAAGAGGAAGAAGTGTACAGGTGAAGGCTTAACAACCTATCCCAAGCCCCTTTGTGTTAGAATAAATAAGGGAGAAGTTTAATTAGGCACATCTTGGTGCCTTTGGGGCAACCTACTTTGGCCACCTTCAAGGCATGGGTGAATTGGCCTTTGGTGGGCAATTGGTCCATGAATTGTTGCTCCAGATGTGGAAAATAAAGGGGTTAAAAACCTAGATGGGCTAACTTATTCAATAGGTTGTGAATTAACTTGGTTCACAATATAGGACTTTTGCCTCATTATCTGGCTACGATGTGACGAACCCCAGGACATAGAGGTTGAGCCACAACGTATTAGGCTGCTAAGAGAGTATTTTCCCTGGAAATTAGCATTGGTAGTTGAAAGTATCAAGGGGAGGAAAGAAAATGGGAAAGGTAAAGCGAAGGCCTTCCCCAAGAAAGTTAGCAAAAAAAATATCCGTGACTTGCAGTAAGCTTGAACGGGCATTTAAGGAGGGCAAAAACAGGGACGATGCCTTCAAGCTAGGTCTGGTATAATTTGCCAATGTTGTATTGATAGGGCTAACGAATAACGTTGATGTGAATCTAGACTACCTCGACCTCATAAAGGATAATGGATAGGTTCAACAGGTTTGCATGGGGTTCCATCTCCTTTGAACAACTCCATGACAACCTCTTGTTTGCTACTTTAAGGAGAGGTAGAGGTAGAGTTTAGGGGAATGATAAGGAAGATGCAGATGAGGAGGAAGAAGAAGTTAGGGGAATGAAGAAGGTGTAGCAGTCCGAATAGGGATGCAAAGGACTTTCATACGCTTTTCAGGTAATATATGTTGCTTTCAGGTAATATTGGCTTTATTAATGTGATTGAGTATTCATTTATGAACAAATACATGCAGGTGTGGGCATACGAAAAAATTTCCCAACTTGAGATGCGCCTAGGTTACTGCAAGATGGCATATTCGGCAATTACACTGAGAATTTTGCAATGGAAGACAACAAAGAAGCAGTCGATCCATGAGCAGCTGCAGTTGTATATAACTGAGAGCCGAGAGGTATAATTGTATTACAAAACTTTTGAATTTTATGAATGAAAATGAACGTGTGTGATTATTGTATGTGTGAGAAATGTATTTATGATGCATGGCTTTAAATGGCAAGCTGTGGAGATTAGAGAAATTGTTCCGACTGAAGTGAATATGAACAAAGCATACTGGAAGTGGGGGGAAGATGCAGATGTTATGATTCCTAAGAACCTGGCTCTCGAAACAAACTGTTTGTACCATATTTAGGGTCTCCGTATTTAGACCTCGTATAAATACTCAGGGGGCTCAAATGTAATTATGTAATAAATGAAAGGGCAAATATATAATAAGTGATGAGCCCTTATTCTATAAAAAGACTCATCACTCTTCTCATTAAAAAGGTCAAGATTTAGGCCATGGGAAGAGAGAAAATAGGCTAGAGAGCACACTGCCTCTAGCCTTTGTGTATATTCACCATTCATAGTGAAACAATATCAACATCAGTGTGGACGTAGCCCAAACATTGGGGTGAACCATGATACATCTTATGTTTTTTACTTTCTTGCAGATTCACGGTCGGATTTACATTGTTCCAAGACCCTCTGGTTTCGTGCATCAACATTTGGCGCCGTCTGTGGGAAACGACACAAAAAGCTATGTCGGTTCTCTCTCAATTTTTCATCTCACCACCGTGAAACCTCATCACAATATCCACCGTGAATCAGCAGAAACCCAGGAACCAAAGTCACTGTAAAACCCATCTCTCAAAGAGGCAGAAATGAAAACTCACAAACACTCGCTCTCCATCATCTCTTCCTCTATTCCCCTGTATCTGCTTCAATGGCTCACCTCTTCAGAGACCTCTCTTCGTTGGGCTAATCCAAGAGAGGTATCACCGCCTCACCTGCCAAATCACTCAGCACACCCACCATATCCATTTCTGATGGACATCAAGTTCATTACAGCAGGGAGGCGGATGTGAGCTCAGAGCTTTAACAATGGCGGAGAATGGCCATGGCAAGGGGAGAAAGGATAAGGTCGTTACCAGAGAGTACACCATTAACCTCACTAAACGCGTTGCAGAGGAGAGAGAGAGAGTTTGGGCAGAAAAGATAGGTTGCAGCTCCACATTACACAAATGGGTCTTGCAGACGCTGATTCTCTCCCTCTCTGCATCTCTCTCTAAGGGTTTGCAGTGTTCTTGGTTCACTTGGCCACCATCCTCATCACTGGAACCGGCATCAACCTTATCAGGAGTCTTGTGGCCGCTATTGTCTACAACAAGGAGCACGTTTGTGATGACCACTAGATCTTCTGGGTTGGACCATTCCGTCGCCTTGCTCCCTCACCATCTAACTCATTCTCCGACTTTTGCCGCATATCCATTCGCCGAATTAATCCTGATACCTCATCTTCCCTCCCTCTCTATATTTTCTCCTCTATTGCCCGCCGATCTTCCTCTACCATCTCCGCTGACTGTAGCGGAAGCTTTCATCTCGAAATTGGAAAGGTGAGCCTTCGCAACAACAATCAGACGACAACGACGAATTTCTCGAATCGGCACTCCTACTTCGTCGGCTCATTCGATTATATTACAGACGAGGAGACGTCGGAAGTGCAGCTGAGCAATGCTGAGCGAGAGAAAGATGAGGTCATCTTGGTAGTGGCAGAGCCGGAACCGTCAATTCTACCGTCGATCCTCGTCGCGAAGGTTAACTCGGGAAGGTCGAGTTGGCTCAAATACTACATTGATCAACTATCGAGCACCCTCTCGTCCCGAGATATGTCATTTCAAAGCTCTGGAAGATTCTACAGTGGAAGTAGCTACCGGAGCGAGGTGTCTATCGCCGGCGATTCGAGCTTGGAAATAGGGCGCGTCGGAGAAGAGATATCCGAGATATTTCGGTGGCTTGCAGGGGTATGATTGGTAAATTCAATAAAAGAACTCCTCATTTGTGGAAACAGGTCGCCATGAATCCCGTCAACATCTGGTTCAATATCTACGACAAGCAGATTTATGGTGCAGAAACTGTTTTCCCTTGTGGATCAGACTTCTATACCAGACAACCCAGATTCCTTGCAAAATCATAAAGTCCTACTCCCTGGTCACTTGATTACCATATATCTCAAGCTGTCAAGTACTTGATTGGAAAAGCATTAAAGGGAAGAAGATAAAAAGAAGGAAAAAGTAGAGACAATTGCGGTGGTGAAATGGTATGATTGCAGATAAGGGAATTATGGGCGTGACCCATTAAGCATGCCCTACCCTCAGCAACTGCCAGCTGCACATGCTATCTCACTATCCAACCATTTGTCATACCCACCTTCTGCAATACCACCGAAAAAAAGACTTATGAAGATAAGTATTTTTTTATCTTTATTATATTATTCATATATATAATGGCACCCTCAAAGTTGTCTGCCATGTGTGTGTCTATATATATATATATTATATGCTTAATATATTATTGATTTATGCAGCATGTCATTTATCAAACAATTGAATAAATCATTTATTCATGATTATATATATACACACACACACATTTAGGCAATACCTAATATATTGTTGATTCATGCAACATGTCATTTATCAAACAACTGAATAAATCATTTATTCATGATTATATATATAGAC